AAATGGATCTGATGTAGAATCTATTGTCACTGCACTAAATTGCACACTTTTTTAAAGACTGAAAAGTCAACATGGGATAGAGAGAACCAGCTGCATGAACTGAAGGAGAAACCAGATCTCTACTTCCTGAGCAGCAGCTCCCCACACTCTGTCCTGGTGCCCAGCTGCCTTACGGAGCTGTTGCAGTCCCAGCACCTTGGCTTTTCACCTCTCAGCTGCACCCTTGGCGGGATTGGTATAACGATCTGGTCATTCCATAAAATGGATCAGTGAACTGATCTGGGTTAAAAATAGTCTTGCACAGAACAAGTAGATGGATGGATGAGGGAAAACTCACGCTCGGACATAAGGATTATTTAACTTATCCAGTTTATTGCACTGTCCGCAGGCAATTACGCTAGCTCAGGTAATGGAGCAGCACAAGGTGCAGCATGAACTCCTTAACCTAACAGTGCCATGTAGAGAAGGGGAGAAAAGGGAATGCAGACACAGAATCTGAGCCTTTTTTTGTTTTTTTAAATCTGCTCTTGCATTACGCCACATCTATTCCAACCTGACTGCAGCAGCATGCACATCTTCAGAGGCTGCCAGAAGTGAAGAAATTGGCTGTTTCCATCGAAGTTTGTTCTTCAGTACAAGCTCCAGCTGGCTGATCGGTGCTATGAATTTAAGAGCTAGCAGTGAAGTTCTGTATACACAGTCTCATCTGCTCATCTCTGGAATTACATTCCCAATCATTGCTCTCTACAAACAAAAAAAAAGAATGCTGGGAATCTGTCACAGAGAAATTAGTTATTTGACCACACTCTTTAAACGGAGCTTTGGTTACCACCGCCTCCGTACCACAGGTTTGCAACGCTCTGAACATGAGTTATCAAATGTTGCCCCTAATCCCAGCTTCCTCCTGCAGACAAGGCAGGTGGAAGGGGCTGAAGCAGTCGGGGTGTTGTGAAGGGCAATCTAATTGCCCGCGTTATACATAGCAACAACAGGCCAGACAACAATCCTAGTCTGAACACTGAAAGCAAATGTCTCCTAACAGACTGTGTTCCATGTTCACTAAAGTACAGCCACCTGAGACAAAACATTTTGTGAGATAAAGTACATTTCAGCATTAGGAAGAAGTATGAGAGATTTAAGTCTCTCCAATGAGCATGTGACAATAAAACAAACAGAGGAATTCTGCCCAGGGAGGTTGTGGAGTCTCCTGCTCTGGAGATATTCAAGACCTGCCTGGACGAGGTCCTGTGCAGCCTGCTGTAGGTGACCCTGCTTCAGCAGGGGGGTTGGACTAGATGACCCATAGAGGTCCCTTCCAACCCCTACCATTCTGTGATTCTGTGATTATATCCGTTGTATACTCTGACCCAATTCTGTCATTCAAAATCTACATTAATATATATTTTTAAAAGCCATTCTCTTTGTAAGTGCCTCTAAATTGTATACAATACCCAACACACTAACTGCAGAAGTGAAAAAATAAGAAAATCTTCACTCCAGAACCAACATATAAGGGAGAAAAAAGGCACCACTTCATAAAAATCATAAGGAAAGAAAGGTAGAGCAGTGCAAAACGCTCCCCTTGCCAGAGAGGCAGTGGGTCGGCAGCTCACGCATCGGCAGATGTGTTATTGGAAAGGCCACAGAGCTCCGGGTGCAGCGGTGCTGCCCAGACACCAGAAGTGATTTGAGCAGAATTACAGTGTGCATGTTTTGGCTCGCATGATAATTTAACCTGGGTTTTACAATACACAGAGTACGGAGGTGACAGGAGGTAAACATGAGCAGCAGCATGCTCCGATGCCCCTGGCATGAGCCAGGCACCGAACAGCTTGGAGAAATGGGAAACATCGCCGGCTTAACAGACCAGGGCACCGTCAATTCCTCTTTCATCCCTCCTTCCCTGTCCTGTGAGTCCTGGACTCCTTAAAGCTAGAGTTAACCAAGGAACTGAGGGAACCTCATGATGTTCAGCACTGCCCAGGAGAAAATACACCCCCATCAACTTGTCCCTGCAAATTCAAACCTCAGTAATGCAACAACAGATATTTCCTTTGTCTTTACTATGGACATAGGCAGCACAATCAAGATAACAGGATCTGAGGGGAGTAGTGATGATGGCTCCAGCTCAGCGCTCCGGCACCCCCAAACACCCTTTTGGGCACCGGCACAGACAAATTTCCTTACAGAGCTGTGATTACAGCAGTTACTGGGACAGCAAATGTAACTTTGAGCTCTGAAACGATCCCCGCTATCATCGTACACTGTTCCTGAATGCACAAGCACAGATCAAGACACTTAAAGAAGTGACAGGGGTTCCTAGCACAGGAGTAATCTCATTTTGAAGCAAAGCAGAAGGTCTTTCTCACAGCAGCGTATGGGACACAGGGACCCTGACTTCAGTGTGAGCCTTGAGAACTGCCCACTTTCACTGGACACAGGCTGCTTTCACAGTTCAAATTCACAAAATGAACCACTTCAGTGTATTTCAAAATGAGATGTACATTATACATGTATCTAGAAGACAAAAAAACCCCTACTATCAATAACTAATTCAGCATATACATACAATTTTATGTATCTTTAAAAATTAAGAGCTACTACCCATTGCACCTGAAGAGATCGCGAAACACGCAGCAGATGGATCACTCTGCAGTCAGGGAATAGTTTTGAATTCCCATAGCAATCCTCAGTGGCAAACTAATTATCCAGCCTATTTCTTCGGTGAGCTCTGATGAACCACATGCGGCTGCCATCCTTTGGCTTCCTCTGCTCTCCTTAGATCGCTCACCACAAAGGATGCAGCCCCCACCTGCGCTGGCAGTCTCTGAGCTCTGAGCTCCGGCCCTGTCACTTCAGTACAAGCCCATGCTGGGCACAGCAGTAATTCATGAGGCACCGAGACAGCCAAACATGAATAAATTCACTCCTAAGCAGAGGGTTAAGAATTCTCTTTTTAAACTATTTTTTTCTAAATATCTAAGTAAGAAAGCAGGCAAGTGCAGAATGAAAAGATGCTCTTGTGTGCTTAGTATGAGAGGCACAGCTTCCTAGAAGGGGATATGGAAACAAATGAGGGAGTATTTGGGATGAGGGGACCACATACTGAAATCATCTCGATCCCTATTAAAGCCCTTGCTAAAGCTCCAGTTCCAGCTGGAGCCCCCTTCTGCCATTTCCATGTAAGAATGCATGTAAGAATTTTTTGGGGCATGTAAGAATGCTTTTTTCCTAAAGTACAAAAGGTGCATAAACTATACCTGCAAGACAGCAATGGCAAAGAAACTTTTGCCAAGCTCTGGTATCAAGAAGACTGCAGTCTACCCTGTGCGCTCTAGAGCAAGGCCTTCTGGAGCTGTCTGAGCTATACTCGCCTGGCCTGAGGAAAGGGAGAAGTGCACAGGAATCTATGAACTACAATATCAAGGGGGAACTAAACATCAGAAACACACGGAAGCACGACTCCAGAGAAAGCCACTGAAATTCCTATGTCCAGCATCAATCTGTGCCATGTATTCTCCACTGATACGAAAGTTTTAAAAATGTTGAACTTTATGTACAAATTCACCATGAAAATATAAATGCAGGGGAGTTTACAGGAGAGCTGGTTTTCCTCAGAATGGGGAGTGGGCTGCTATATTGAAAAATAACAAAAAAAAAAGTGAAGAAAGTGGCAATTGCTAATCGATAGAAGGTTTGCACCAGAATAATCAAACAAACCAAACTGATTTTGTTTCTGAACTGACCTAACAAAGAAGTTTGTGATTCACATATATAAGACTATTTCTTAGCACCAATTCACTAGAAAAAGATGTTTAACATCATATGCCTGGTGCTAAAAAACACTCTTACATATCTGAATCACAAATGTTAAATTTACTATTTTGGTCACAACGCCTATAGATTGGTTGTACATTGAACTTTCCCTTTCCCCCTTATTCTGAAATCTTTTCAGATTCTCTTTATCTTCTTTAAATATTTTTTCCCATGTTCTTTCACCAAACACAGATTGAACAGTCTGCAGGCTGCAGACATTCTCTCTCTATTTACCACCTCCTTTAATTTCTGGTATTAGCTGCCAGTTTACAAGAGCTTGTGGTTGGAAAATTGTCAGTAGCTGAACTGCACCAGGCTGGCATGCCAGCCGCACACCATGGGCAGAAGTCTCCTTTCTCATTTGATAAAGAATAGGGCACAGAAAAAGACAGAGAACTGTACACAGGCAGCATCGTTTCCACAGTAAGGCCAGACATGCAGGAGACTGCAGCGTTACCACTGCAAACACAAGTTAGTGCCTTCTACAAAAAGGTCAAAGCATTAGCTCCAGACTTGTAGGTGACCTCAGACCTACTAAAAATAGTCTAATTCACTGAACAAAGACCTACTGATGCCGTTTTACCAAAGACGTTTGTCATCTTCTTCGTATCATTCTGAAACCAGTAACCTTACTTCAGGCACTTTGACTCATTATCTACTGCTGGGAGATTTGCAAGAGGCAGAATAATACCGCCCTGGAAAGTGAAAAATTAGATAACTCCCTCGGTTACAACAAGCAGCCGATGCAGCCCAGCTAGCCAGCTCCTACACCGAGATGCTGTGCTGAGATCGTGCAGCCACTTCTCTTGGTGGGGAGCCACTGTCATCATTCAGATTACAGCATGTTCTTCTGAAGCTATGCCAGTCTGCCTTTGAGGCATCATGGTTAAAAAACCCAGAACCAAACCAAACCAAACACCAGGCATGGGCACAACGGATTAGACCAAACGTCCATTTAGCCTCATACTCCACGTCTGTGTTCATTGGCCAAGACTTCAGTAAAAAGCCCACAAAACAGGGTATATATAAAGCCACAGTTTTCTCTCATCATCCATTTAGGTTCCAGGCTCTGTAATGTAGAGATTTCCTTGCCTGTTTCTGAATCCTTATGGTCAATAGAACCTGACTGTCAATCTCTCTGTTTGTTTGTTTGTTTGTTTGGGGTTTTTTAATCTTTTCCTCACCATGGAACTCATTCTCAGAATAATGTAACTGGAAATAGCATGAAATAGCACTTCCCTGTATTTTAAATCTGACACACAATATTCCCATTTAATACCTCTGAATCTTGCACCGAGAGAAGCAATCACCTAAACACCTTCTCTGCGCCATTCACTGTTTTACACATACTTGTGAATACCTTTTGCCCTCTGCTTGCTCTACCTCAAACTGAAAGTCTGTACCTATTCAGCCTTTCTGAGCATGGAAATGGCTCGATGTTTTTGTTTACTCTTTTATTACCACTATATATACTTAATTCTTCTAGATCTGTTTCAAAATTAGTTGAAGAGAATTACATGTGTTATTGAACATGGAGGCACAAGGGGTATTTATACAGTGGCATGACATATTCTTGGGTTTTGTATAATTGTCTCCTAATACGTCCACGGTCTTTTAACCATCACTGCTAAACAAGTTGCAGAACCATTCACAGTAATTCCAAGATCTCTTTCCGGATTTGCAAGTCATAACTAAGTCCAACATTAGGTGTATGCTGTCAGAACAATCTTCTCAACAAACCCTGCCTTACATCTAGCAGAACTGAATCTGGCCTGCTAGTTTGTTGCCCGATCACCTAGCCCTGCGAGATGCCTCTGACATTCCTCACAGTCAGCTTTTGGTTTTGCTACCTGGAAAAATGTGTCAGCACTTTATTAGTCATCCTGTTCCAGATCCTTTACGAGCACTTGGAACAGCAGAGATCCCAGCACGCATTCTCAGGAATGTGGAGGAAAAGAAGTGGAGGAAAAGAAGGTTATCAGGAGTAGTCAGCATGGATTCACCAAGGGGAAATCATGCCTGACCAATCTGATAGCTTTCTACGATGGCATGACGGGCTGGCTAGATGAAGGGAGAGCAGTGGATGTTGTCTACCTCGACTTCAGCAAGGCTTTCGATACGGTCTCCCATAACATTCTCACAGGGAAGCTCAGGAAGTGTGGGCTGGATGAGTGGTCGGTGAGGTGGACTGAGAACTGGCTGAATGGCAGAACTCAGAGGGTTGTCGTCTGCGGCGCTGAGTCTAGTTGGAGGCCGGTAACTAGTGGTGTCCCCCAGGGGTCAGTACTGGGCCCAGTCTTGTTTAACTTCTTCATCAACGACCTGGATGAAGAGTTAGAATGTACCCTCAGCAAGTTTGCTGATGACATGAAACTGGGAGGATTGGTAGATACACCAGAAGGCTGTGCTGCCATTCAGCGTGACCTGGACAGG